GACGACGGAAATTATTATAAAGCAGTAATAAATACACTTTAGAAAAACCAAAATAATTTAGCCAAAAAATTAGAACTACATGTATCTTTATCAATGAGCATAATTAATAACTATAATAAAACTATTGTGAAATTAAATGAAAATCATCGAAAATTACAAACTGGTTTTAAAACATTCACTGCATTTTGGAATTTATGACGATAAATTCTTTACAAAACTATCTTAGTTTTCACGGGATCATTATTCAATTAAACTTAGATTGCCAAAATATTATAATGTTTCTAGATAACCTAGAAGACGCTATTATGTTTGCAAATGTTAATGGGCTTCATAATAATATTTTATCGATTTCGGAGTTGAATAAAGTGATTAAATATCTAGCATCAATTTATAAAGAAAATCAAATTCCACAATTTAAAAACATTTTATCTTCTTATCAAATTTTGGGAACTCAGATAAATTTTGTTGACTCGAAAGTGATCTTTGCAGTCCATGTACCAATTCTAAGATTCGAAATATTTTCCTTTTACCATATTTTCCTAATAATCCAAAATCAATCATTTTTTATACCCCAATACCCTTATGTGGCACAAGCGAAGAAGAAGAGACAATTAACCGTAGAAACATGTCCCGTCATCTAAGAAATCTACTGTTGTAAAGAAGAAACTCACCCCCGAGATGTATGCGTGGAGAACTTATTTAACGACGTCGGAATTGAAAACTGCCCCATTACGGAAATGAACCTGTCAGAAGCAATTATAGAACAAATCACTAAAAATTTAGTTCTTGTTCTACCACAGAAGCCTGAAAAACTGCTAATCAAGTGTAATACAGATCGATATATGCAAATCAAAGTACCAGTACTGATTAAAATACCAGGAAACTGTCAAATAGAAATTAATGAAGAAAAATTCTTCAACGATGTGAAAATCCAGTTCGGAAAACCAATACTTTTACCAAAAATCCAATTGACAGGATTTTTTTTTTCAATGGAGTAAGTGGTTTTCAAGAAAATACTTGTTTTCTAAAACCATGCAGCACGTGGTACTAGTAAATGACGTCATTGCGTCTGGATTGAGGGCGAGAAATAGTGATTTTCATTTGGATTTTTTGAAATATCTCGAACAGCGTACGTGATAGATGGAAACCGTTTATACAAAAATTGTAGATTTCGATGTTGGCTATAACACTGTTTAAACCAATTGCCCATATTTTTCACGAATTTTGATTTACGGCTAATAATTTAATAGCGAAAAGAACGATTTTCAGGATCTATTAGATTTTTGTCTATAATTGAAAAACCCTGTATATAATGGAAAAAATGCCTGAAATAAAGGTTATGGTTCCGGATCTCCTCCATTTCCGGGTTCATAAATTTTGCCGATAGGGTTAATAGTTTTCGAAAAAACAATGTTTTTCTGAAAGTCAAAATATACCAAAAAAATTTTTCAAAAATTTTTAAAAAATATTTTGCTAGATTTCAGTAAGTTCTCTTTCAACAGATGAAATGCGGGTATGTACTTCTGCCCTTCCGCCAAATCTGAAGTCGATAGCTGCAAATTTAAGACACCTACTAATTTTTGAATATAGCACTTAATAATTTGACACAACAGGAAAATCCTTAAATTCAAAAGTTTTAGCTGTTTATCCGACATCCGAAGCACAGTCTTTCAGTTATAGCAAATTGTCAATAATAGGGAGACCCATTTTTTAGTTTTATTGAATTTCCGGCGCACACTGTACATTTTTGAAAAACTTTCGAGAATAAAATTTTATGTAGCCGAATCTTAAGAGTCTTCAGATTCAAGAATTTCGTCTGCCAAATTCGAAGTCGGTAGCTTCAAATTTCGGGCATTTATCGTGTTTCCTAGCAACGTTCAAAAAACAGTCAAAAATAGAAAAAAAAGATGGACGCTGCTATTTTTACATGTCTTATGCATCCCATGGACGGTTAAAAACGAGCAAAATTTTAAGCGTGTAGCTCAAACGGTTCGGAAGTTATCGTCGAAAAACGCTGGAACATAGAACGGGGAAACGGAGAACGGACACACAAAAAAAATATTTTTTTGGACGCTGTACCCGCTGTAGGTCCCGTAGGACCTACCGTTACCGAGATTTCGAGGTTTGTGAGGAGCGCGTATACTTTCCAAAAGAATCAATTCATGCTAAAAAACACTGCAGAGCACATTATTTCACTGCACGATTTTGTCTGCAAACTACTGTGATTCTTATTTAGTAACCATGAATGCAAGTCTTCAAAATTGAAATACGAAAACCTCTAATTGCAATTTTCCGAAGTGTATTGTTTTAAGAAAGAGATCATAGCTATAATTCTGATTCTGATAAAATCGTTCTCTGCTTTAAATAAAATACCGCAAAATTGGGTTGACATAACTTTTTTTATATTATAACGGGAAAGTCTATATTAAGCTTTGTTTCAAAATTTTCCATGAATGAATCGGCTAGAAACGCGGACAACCAGAGAAGTAGACAAATCGTTGTTCCTCCCACTTGCTGATGAGCTTATTATTCTGTTAATAGTAAATTTGATCGGTACATGATTGGGAATGAGGTATACTAGATTAACACTATAGCATACAAGGACTTACTCTTGCTCTTAAGTGGGATGGACACGCCTGGAAACAATAAGTTAACATTAAAAGACAATTAAATTTCACCATCTAAATGGCCGTCTTTAAGCGTATTGTCAATAAGTGGGAAAGTGAACTTGTAAATTGTTTGGTTATCGGAAAGATCAAAACAATTCCATCTGGATTTAATATTTGTCTCCCAACAGTGAAGCCAGATATAACAAATAAAAAATACTCAATAGACAACTCCAAAACTTTTTAGAAGAAAGAATTCTGGAATATCTGCAACAAAGCACATTTAATGTAGATATTATCTATTTTGGCATCTATAAAAACTGCTGGGTCTGATTTCTTATTCAATTTATCGGATCTGGTCCAACTTGCATCGTTATGACTGTCCCAAATCACTATAATAAAATACCTAAGCGTTATTTTTAACAATTTCTTGGAAATTTCAACGACTTGTTCATTAAGTTGATTATTTTTACAAAACGGGATTTTTTTAGAACTAGAATTCTAGGAAAGAATAGTTGCACAAGATCCAATAGCATATCAACTTTGTAATGGGACAACTTCTAACCAAACAACAGGAAAATCCTTCTAAATGAAAATGTCTTCTACCAATTTTTTTCAGGCGGTAATGAGGTTCAACTCAAAGTGAAAACTACATTCTAATTTTCTTCAAAATTTCCAATGTGAATTATGCAGTTATGGTGGAAAATATAAGGAAATGTTATGGTAATTGGGATAAGTTTTGTGGTAATTGCATTCTATAGAAATTGAAAAGTATGCTTTATGATAGGGATGACAAGCTATTAGCATAATTGATAATATAATATCTCCGTTGTTAAGTCAGCAGTCTGATAATTCGCCAAGGAAAGTGACGTTGTTAATATTTCGCATTCAGCATTTCACCTACGACTTTTTCTACGACAGTTAGTTTTTGGGTACATTGTCGCCAAACAAAACGAATACATTCACTGACATATCCGTCACAATTCAAGGCAACATCCGATTGCTCCCAAACCCGCGAGGTAAAATCTCGGAAATGTCCGAAGTGGCTCGGATCCGTGGGAAACAAAACTGATGTGGTAAAGTGACGCTTCCCGCACGCTAGATCGGTAGGTAATGAGGTATTTTACAGACGGGAGTACAAAAAGTATATTTTCTTCTTAACCATATCAATATAAACAAAAACTATAAAGTTCTAAAAGAATCCCAATGATATTTTGGCAGTTGAGTATTCTCCGACTCTTTACTGTTGGTCCGACTTACGTGCCTATGACATTTGTTTATTTTTTGGACTATAATATTAAAACTAAAAAAATATCATTGAAACATAATAGTTTTGCTAAATCTGGGATTATGATTTTAAATCTTGTATTAATAATTGGATTATTATGTCACTTTGTTGTAACATTTGATCAAATATTGGTTTAGATTGCTTGATTTTATGTTATTTTATGTTTCTTGTTGAAATTGTTATTTTGAGTTTATTAAAATTATTGTGAGCGTTATTACGATTGCACCTATTTTTAACGGGTTCCAACATTGATATTATTTTTTCTCTTGTTGTTTTTGTTTTGGTTATGGTCTTCGAAATGTAGGTTAGAAAATAGTATATTCGAACAGTTTTTTTGTACTGACCTATCGCTACTTATTTAATTGAAGCATGATCATTGCAATAGAAGTTAGTTATTATTATTTCAGCTACATCTGGTAGTAATTCTTAAGGTAATTAGGGGTAATTTTAGACAGAAGTGGTAATTTAGTGTAAAATTTATAATCTCATTGGTTTCAAGAAAATGGTAAATACAAAAGTTGTGAAGGTGCACAATGTAAAATTATATTTAATGTTTACAGGGTGGCTCAAAATAGAATAACGAAAAAAACATACATTTTACGAAATAGAACACCCTATGTGCAAATTTTGTTTTCAATTCCTTTTAAAATACTTAAACATTTTTATTAATAATAGTACATATCTAAATGTTTTAAATTAAAAAAACTCTCGTTTTCTAACTAGCAAAGTATTAAATATGGGTATATGGCATACATAACAAAAGTTGGTGTATTGTTATTAATTAAAGAGTTTTTCAAAACGAATTCAAAAAATGCATGTTTCATTCGCCACGCATTTTTGAATAATTTTAAATTGTTCATCTTAACAATCTTTACCATTTTTGAATTTACCAGTTTCTCATAACTTTTGAAAACAATAAGATAATGAACTTAACCGCTATATCACCCTATACACAGATCGAATAATGAAATCCCAATCGATTTGTCCCTTTCTCTGCCTTTTAGTTCAATCTCGGCTGCTTTTAAGAACATAGCCTATTTAAAAATTGGTTACTTCTCTAATCAGATTGCCTATAACTTAAAGGCGAATTTTTATTTCAAATTTAGGCCACGTCCACCAGGATCGTCGGTGGCATCTGGTGGTTTTTCACTCTAATCATCATCTCATCCTACACTGCCAACCTGGCGGCCTTTTTAACCGTGGAAAGAATGATAACGCCAATAGAAAGTGCCCAAGATTTGGCTGAACAAACTGACATTGCCTATGGGACGCTGGAAGGGGGAAGCACTATGACGTTCTTTAGGGTAACGCTGGAAAGTTAGATGGGGGAGATATTTTTCATTAATTATTCATTTCGCAGGACTCTAAAATAGGAATCTATCAGAAAATGTGGCGGTTTATGGAGAGCCGCAATCCCCCTGTATTCGTGAAATCTTACGAAGAAGGCATCCAAAGAGTGTTGCAAGGAAACTACGCGTTTCTAATGGAGTCGACGATGTTGGATTATGCAGTGCAACGAGATTGTAACCTCACCCAAATCGGAGGGCTTTTGGACTCCAAAGGATACGGTATCGCCACTCCCAAAGGCAGCCCCTGGCGAGATAAGATTTCGCTGTCAATTTTGGAGCTACAGGAGAAAGGGGTCATACAAATTTTGTACGACAAGTGGTGGAAAAATACCGGTGATGTCTGCACGCGCGACGATAAGAGTAAAGAGTCAAAGGCCAATGCTTTGGGAGTTGAAAATATAGGTGAGTAATTTGTGTTTGCGTCTCTAAGCGTAAAGATTAAAAAAGTTATTAAACACAGCAACAACATTTTCATATTTTTCAAGAAATATTAAAGTATGACGTCATCTTTACTCCCCATAAAATAGAAAATACATAGTGTTAGACTATTCTCTATTACTGCAACATGTTTGTACTTGGGGATGATCGTAGGGCCCGAAAAACACCAGAAATTGCTCGAAATTATTTTCAAATTCCTAGAATGGCCGCTTCTATGGTGAATATAGAAAAGGCGTATCTTCAGCAACAGGTAATATTTTCCAAAAATCATTCGATATGGTACGTTGGAACAAATTCCGGTATTATTTTTTTAGTCAATTATATTAACTTTCTAATAGTTACCAGTTGATCAAATTGAAAATTCCTAAAAAGTAATCTCCATGTAATTAGAGAATTCAGAAAATAAGAAATAGGCACATCTTATTATTTCAAACAACTTTGGTTTACTTGGATGCTATTTGCAAAAAATGGTACCTTACTCTGCACTGTGTTTTCCGTTTTTTGCTTCATTCTATATTTGTAAGTAGTACCACATTACATATGGTTAAATTTTTATAGAGAAAATTGCCGCATATATAAAAATGCAATTTTATACGAGTTTATGTATAAAATCAAAGAAAGAATAAGAAATATGTATAAAGAGAAAAGCAAGAAGCAAACATATCTCGGCAAGCAGATGGTCTAGCAAAAATCAGTCTTGACAAATAACTATTTAAAAAACCGGTGAAAATTTTCAATATGCATACTTTTCAGGTAGCCCTCGTATATGAATGAGTACCCTGAAATTTATTTGTTCTTGGCCAGTTCTGCAAGACAGAAATGTTTGTCATTACCATCCGTATAAATTAGTTAGGAAATCGCAAAGATTTTAAATTCTTGATTGCTAACTTCCCTTTAAAACTGTCTGACTTTTATGAAAATATAAGCGTATCATTTTCGTCTTTGCATAGAAATGATTGTCCTTCTAGATGTGATCAGATACACAGCGTTTCTGATCATATGAAGAGTGCCGGATACAAATTTTTCCAACTGATCAATATCACGGAATCTGTTTGTAGACTAGTTCGTACAAATGGCCCCACAAGAAAACATCTAGGCTTGTAATGTCAGAGAACCTAGGCGACCCTTGTACTTCTGAACGGTGCCCTATCCACCATTGTCGAAAAGTTCTATCCAAAGATTCCTCTATCAGAGTATAGGGTTTTGAAATTTCATGTTAATATATTTGTGAATCAAATTTTAACTGCAGTTTCTTTTTAAAACGAATCTTTATGGAGTTTAAAATATATAAAATCAATATAAAAATAAATGTTTCAATTCTTGAAAGAAAAAAAAATACTTAAAAAAAAACATCTCTCCCACAGTGCTGAGGTGAGATGGCGCACCAAAAAAAAAGTTTTTTGGCCAAAATTTCACATTGTTTTGCACATCAGAAAACCGCATTCATCGCAAAAGTTAACAAACTTGGAACAGGAATCATGAAACCACTTGGAGCAACGTAAGCAATGAACCCAGTCGTCAGATTTTGTGGTTTGGGAATACTCCTCGCTACAACCAGCGCAAGCCTCGTCAGCGTCATCGATATCATCTGAAGAATCATCGAATATCGATGCTTCTAAATCGTCGTCTGAAGATGAGGAGCTTTGCGTAGCTTTCTTAGTTTTAATTTTAGTAATTTTTGATTTCTTAATAACTGGTTCCATTTTACTAATGTTTTTTCCTTTCTGTGTTGTCTTATCAGTTTTTTTCTTTTTCTCGAAAATTGTTGCCTCTGTGGTTAAAATTTCTGCCAGCTGTTTGCCCCTTCGTCGGACAGAATTAACTTCAGCAGAAACAAATGGAACAGGCGAGATGATATCCAGTAATTTTCCAGGGGTAGTTTTCTTGGTTCTTGCAGGAGGTTTATTTTGATTTTCTGGTACAGGTGCATCTACAGTCTGCCAACTGCAGCAAGACTGTTGATTATCGTCAGCTAAACCTTCAGGATAACTTTGAGAACCACCATTCAGATTCTGTTTATTTTGTACTGGATCAGGGATAGCATCAACTACGTTATTATTTTCAGTCAAATAGGCTTCATGTGGGATTGCAGAAGGGTTAAAAAGCACAATTCCAGTAGACTTAAATGCTGAAGTTCCATTATTTACAGTCGCGGACTTATTCCATCCCTCAGCAAGTAACTTTGCAAAGCGTAATCTGGTGAGCTTTAGTCCTGATGTTCTGTTCAATACAGTATTCTAGCATCTCCACGTTACTGCAATGTGACGCATGGCCATCAAGCAATAACAAAACTGTCCCTGGTGGCTTTCTGGGAACAAATTGATCTTTAAGCCATTTAAAAAATATGTCACTATTAACGTAGACCGACTTCTCTGACATGTAAACCAATTATCCAGGTGGCATCCCATCTTCGAACTCTTGCATTTTATTTTTACCTTTCATAACGCAGGTAGGGGAATAAAAACACCTTCCGCGTTACAGCACGCTATAACTGTGATAGTTTCTCCTTTTTCACCGGAGCTGATACTTGCTATGTTTTGAGATCCTTTCTTGACTATGACAAGCCCCGGCCTATTATTTAGCTGCAGACCAGTCTCATCAATATTAAAAATATGTCTAGGTTTTCCAATAAGATTGTTTTCGTTGAGAGTATTTTCTAGCAGCTGGAAATAAACCTGTACGTCTTTTTTGTTCACACCCAAGGATCGATTAATGGAGACCCCTTCTGCTTTTCTCACTGACAGCTCTGGATATCTCTGAAGAAATAACTTAAGCCACGGAAAACCAGCTAGTCTCGATTCCTTATTAAAACGATGTTTAATTTCCAGCTGTTCAGCCATGCTTCGCACGTCGAATCGTGTAGGAGAAAATATGTTTTTTTGAAGTTTTAGGATGTGTTTAACCAACTTTTCTTCAGCAGCGTCGCCTAATGTTGACGAAGGTCCAAGAGGGCCTTTCTTCACATAATTTTTCACTTTTCTTCTTCGTAGAGTAGTGGCCGGTACTCCAAAATTTCTTGAAGCCTCATTAACTCCCATTCTTTTTTCATTAACGGCTTGAATGGCTTCAGTTAACTGTTGTTCAGTCCAATTAGCCCTGGAGCAACTTCCGGTGCGATTGTAATTGGTCGGCATACTGGAAAAGGAAAGAAATATTATGGAGCCATCTCACCTCAAAATAAGTGAACCATCTATCCCCGCTGTGGGAGAGGAGATGGCGCACCTAACAAGCTGAACGCATTTTAAAATATTTGCAATTTTAAGGTTATATATCAAAACGTAGAAGTTTTTACTTACCTAAGACGATAACTTGCTTAAAATTATTGTTAAAATCAAGGTCAATCAGCACTAAGAAGGAATTCGGAATAACAAAAAAATAATAGCAAAATACGGGTTTAACCGGTAGACACACACAGTTCGGCGGCTTGTTTAATATGAACTAAAGTACATCATGGCGTCTCGACTTATTTGTAGCTCTAGCGGTTGCGCTGTAAAATCATTGCGCCATCTCACCTTCTGCGTCATCTATCCTCGAACTGCCCTACGGAAAGTCTGGATTTTTTGGGATTTTAAATTCTATCGAGAGACGAGACACAGCTTTCGCAGGCATGTTAGGTCCTCACTTTTGCTATGTACATGGACCAAAACATTGGAGCCACTAGAAAGTTAAAATGTTTTGTCATAGCTCAGGGAGATACGAAATTAGTGCTGTATCATACAGGGTTGGTCAAAACTAATGATTTCCTACGAGATGCAAAAATTCTAAGTGCAAATTATATTCCCTTTCCAATGTTGTATCGTGTCTCTATGCCTAAAACGTTGGCTCTTTGAAATAAAAGCACGCTTCTCTGAAAACTGGATTGCGTTGGAATAATTAATTATTAATGTTAAATAATTTGTTTCCAGCTTGTTCAATAAAGATTTTTTCTCTGTTGATTGTGATGCAAAAATTCAGTATTTAATGAATTGAGAACCATATAATTAAGTAAAGTTTTTCAAACCCCTTTACGAAAAACATAGCGGGTATTTAAAATAAACATTGCACACAGAAAAACGAATTCTATACACTTTCAAATCTGTTGAAGTGGACTGATGATACTAGCCTTCTTTGTCCCAGATGGGTTTATTTGCTCAAAGCGTCGTACAATCCAATGACGTAACTCTTCCTTGCACTGGTGTCAAATGGACCCGTGACTTTAACGCACCCCATAGGTAAAAGTCTTTTTGCATGAGATCAGGCGATCTTGCTGACTAATCCCACGCCCAAAAACGTAGCGAAATAATTCGTATAATTCTTGCGACACCGCTTCAGTGTATTGAGCCGGTGCCCCATTTAGTTGGTACCAAGAGTTCCGAAGTTCCTGAAGGCTAGGTTTCTCGTTAATATTTTACAGCATTCGGTAGTTCATCGTAAAGTAAAAAACTTGTTTCATTGTCTTTTATCGAGCAAAACACATTTAAGCTAAATTTGCTTCGTAATCAAATACCAAATTCGAGTTTTCATAGAAACTTGCTTTTATTTCGAAAAATGACAACGTTTTACTAATAGGAATATAATAAATCATTCGAGAGAAAATTGAATTTGTTCTTTTAAAAAAATGCTCTTTCCAACATTTTCATTTCTGGTAGGCAAATCGTTAGTTTTGACCAACGCTGTATAATGAGGAACTAATTTTCATATTGAGGAATTGTGTTGTAGTAATAAAAATTTTATTGAAAATATGTTTTGTTAGGAAAAATGAAGAAAATAATTATTTTCTCGAGAACCGTTGAAGATAAGTATAGCAAAGAATTATTCGAAAAAAAATCAATAATGCATCAAAAAATGTAGATTGTGTTAAATTTAAAATTTCAATGTTAATGCTACTTTTTCGAAGACATGACACCGTCCCAGCGTTCAAAACATTTGAGATCGCTTGAACATCCCGTATTTCCATACGCTTGAGGTGATAATATGGAAAAGCG